GCGAAAGCAAAGCGATTCTATGCCGTGTTCAATTCAGCTGTGCTTACCGGGAAGCTTACACACTCTAATCATTAGATGTAAGTGCGGCTGCGAGAATCGCAGCATCGCGGGCGGCCCTTTCCCTCTGGCAGATGATTCGCAGAATCCAAAACATACACGCGAGACGGAAGGCCATGAAGAGAACATAATATATCACACCTGTTGTTTCAAATCTATATAAACCCCGATCCCTAAACTCACTTGCTTTCTATCTGTAAACTCAGATGATCTCCAATATACATTGTGTACACTTTTTTCAAATTTAATAACTTTTCGAATGTAAGCAAATCAGAAAAGCCTTGAGACTGTTTCCTCTTGAAGTCGTTGCAGTTGCCCTACAAAGGCGGGTTCATACTCAGAAGCAAAACTGAGGGTTTTCCCCCCGATTTCTATGGGCAACGTCCAACCATCTGCTGCCTGCATCGCGCACACGTAGGACGGGCCTCCTGCGAGACAACTAAGACATACAACAAGCCACACACAACCTTCGTGACAACGGACGGCGCCTGCATTAGGTGAAACTTGGACGTCACTTTTCACCACATGTTACGTTATGTTATGTTATGGGTTCTCCTTGAACGCGGCCAGGAAAAGCAAGGAAACAAACAGGAACACGTTTTATGTCTGCGCGCGCACGAAAGCTTCGTTACCCACTACCCACATTCCCGCCCCCCCCCCCCCCCCACAAAACCGAACTCGTGTCAAAGGTTGCTGCCCATCCTTACCAGATTGAAGTGCCGCTTGTACCTTCTCAGCGCAGCCGTCTCAAGCCTACTCAGATCCACTTTCTGACAAGCAAGAACACAAGCGACAGAAGAACGAGAGCAACCAGCCAATGCCTCAGCATCCAATCTATTCAGGATCATTACTACCGTCTTCCACCGAACACAGTGCACCCTCAGCATGGCCATATCAGACCGGAAAACAAGCTTGTATGCATCCTTCCAAGGGTGTGCGTTGTGTTCGGGTGACGACGGCAGGCGGGATGTGACTGACACTGCAGAACCAAACGCCAAAGAAGTCCGCATCGCCGCAGAGGCATCTGAACGCTGTCTCCATACAATGTGACGCGCCAACAAAAAGCCAACTTAAGGCGGGGACACATCGAGAAGACAAGAATCAGTTTTGGGCGGAGGAGAAGGAGAGTGCAACGGTAAGAGGAAAGGAACGAAAGAGACACGCATGGACCTGCCGGCAAGGACGGGGGAAACATGGGTTCCCATCCAGGTCGCTAAGTAACAGAAGGCGGGGACGGAGACGACAGATAAAATGAGAGGCATCCTTCACAATGAAGAAGGCGGAAAGCAGGAAAGGCATTCTATTCCACCAGCCCTTCCGAGCTTTTAATACTCATTGAAGACGAAGCGCAGTTGCTGCGGAGGTCGTGCGAGCGGGACCAGCACCGACAGGAGGAACAGATAGGCGCACCATCCAGACATCCAGGAGAAATGATAAGACCACGTCATTAAAAAAAAAAAAAAAAAAAAGACCACGTCAGAACGCATACGCTTCACGTCCACTTCCCGTCAGCCAAGCCATTTGAAACGCGTACAGAACATCCATGTTCAGAAGTGGTCCGCAGCAAGACACCGCTATGGAAAGGAGTGAATGGCAGCCGGGGAGCAGTCCGAGAACCGTAGAAAGGGCGCAGAAAATATGACACAGCGGTAGAGAAACAAAGAGTGCAGATCATTTAGGTGTGCGTAAGAGGCAGAACCAGATATGAGATGGAAGAAGAACACAAGGAACACGGGGAACAGAATAATGATACGGAAAGAAGAAAGATCAAGAGAAAGATGGGAACGGACGATCACGGTACAGAGACAGACAATGGGCAGGGAAAACTAATAAGGAGAGAAATGGGAACAGGTGAATGGTGCAGACACAAGAAACGTGGAACACAACAATGAACACTCGAAAGAAGGTTTATATCGAATTAACGTACATGCCCCCATTATGCTCACGGGATTCTCAGAACTCACAAAAAGACAGCTCACTCATGACTGAGCGGAAGGATAACTTCCCCCCTGAGAAACCCACAAGTTACCGAAGCTTTACAAATCCGATAAGACGCTTGCGAACATGTTCACCACAGCGCTACCGGAAGGAATCACGATCCACTCAGTGCGTGCGCTTGTCTCCCCCCTTGCCCTCTCCCTCGCCCTCGATTGTCCTGCCGCCTCCGTGTTCGTCTCTCCATGCCTCTGCATGTCTTACTCTGCCCACAGCTTCCTCTCTCTCGACCTGAGTCTCTCATTTGGTGTCTATACCTCGTCCTTGTGGATCGGACAGTGGATATGTAAAGCGAAGTGAACCGAGCGCCGAGGCTCCTCTCTCTCTCTCTCTCTCTCTCTCTCTCTCTCTCTCTCCACACACCCGGATCGACAGTGGATAGCGAAAGCGAAGTGGACCGAGTGCCCAGGTCATCGAGAGGGAGTAAACAAGCATGCACGCCTACTCCGCAGAACGCCATTCACTCTCTCTCTCTCTCTCTCTCTCCCTACACCCAGATCGACAGTGGATAGCGAAAGCGAAGCGGACCGAGTGCTAAGGTCATCGAGAGGGAGTAAACAAGCATGCATGCCTACTCCGCAGAACGCCATTCACTCCTACGTAGTGCAGTGAACAAGACATGCCGCAGTTCCAGATAATGCGTTAGTTTGGTCCCAATGGCAGAGAACGGCCAGTGAACAACGGAAGACCGGTAGCTGCCAAGGTCAGAGAAATAGGGACGGAGGATGCCAAGCCATGGAGAACCAGGACGCCGAGGATGGGGACACACGTTGATGATTCGACGGAACAAAGCTGCATAATGACTTGGACGGATGGACAACACGTCAATCAGACGTCGAAATATCTCTAAGCTAGAACCCAGATTGACTCAGCAGCAGCATGTGTGGAGGAGGCAAAAGAGGAGAGGCGGAGGAAGTGGAAAGGTACGTCGAGGACGTGGGGCATCGCGCAAGCAACACGAAGGAGCGGAGAGGCAACCCGCCGAGAATACAAGCAGTGAACGTGGAAAGATGAGAGAGAGGAAGGCGGGAACAAAGAGATCCAGAAAGGAAAAAAGAATGCACACGAACTGATGGGGGGAACACGAAAGCCACAGGGAGGTAGACGGGGGAGACGGGAGATAATGGGATACTGAGGGGGAAACAAAGACGGATTACGTATTGAAGGAAGGGTAAGCGGAGAACGGGAGTGTAGTGGGCAAGTGGAAGAACAGGAAGAGAGGCAAAGGAGGAAAGGCATAGTTAGACAGGCTGAGGAGAGAAATTACGCTTTCGCTCGAAATGGCACAGGTAGACTGAACCAATGCCTTGGCAGTGCAATCAACCAGAGAAGGGCGAGGACAAATGATCAGGTAAATAGGAGGTAAGAGACGTGTAAGGCAATACAGATGAGATAGAAGGAGGACCCTGCAGGAAAAAAAAACGAGCTGGGCGGGCGAGAAAACGAAACAAAGTCGACCAAGTTCATCCCCCAGTTCCACTGTATGTAGGTTTCTCGACCGCAGAGCATGAATATTGGGAACAAACGGAAAAGAGAGAGAAACCTACAGGCAGGACAACCGTAGTTTCCGCAGAAGCGGTAAGAGCTGATCTTTCTCGTTTCTTCTCCTGGCCGCGCTTCACAGGAGCCGTAATCTCCGTGATATGATTCCGAACAGACGCAGCTGCTCCACTGCTCGACATCCTGGCTCCGATAAACTTGCGCCAGGCGGCTTGAACGATTGTCCAGACGGATTTCGACAAGATGCTAACCAAGGAATTTTGGCCCCAGGCGTTTTCCTCTCAGCTGCTGATGCCGATTGAAGAGCGTGCTGCCGGTAGGAGCTCAACCTGCACAGAACAACAGTTCCCACATCAGTTCCAGCAAATCTCGCAGCGGATGATCCATGGGAATCACACCTACCTGAAGCTCTCTCCCTCTTCTACCTTTCCTCCCCACGAACAGTCCACCGCCCAACCAAATGTATCTACCTTGCTTTTCCAATATCGTATCAACCACCAACGCATTGCGCCCCCTTACTCTGTCTTCGTTACCGTCCGGGTTTCACCACATACGTCTCCCTCTCTCTCTCTCTCTCTCTCTCTCTCTCTCTCTCTCTCTCTCTCTCTCTCTCTCTCTCTCTCTCTCTCTCTCTCTCTCTCTC